GCCCCTGCTCCCGGGACCTCTCACCCGCCCTCCCGACCAGAGGCCCGCAGGAGGGGGCAGGAGGAGGCGGGGCAGGGGTTCCTGGGGCCCCGTCCAGTCCTATGTTCCCCTTCTCCACAATGCCCAGCTGCTCGTGAGTGCCCAGCAGCCTGCTCCCGTCAGCACGCCTACCCCCCTCACCTGTCACCACCCCTACCCCGCTCACCTGTCACCACCCCTACCCCCTCACCTGTCACCACCCCTACCCCCCTCACCTGTCAGCACGCCTACCCCCCTCACCTGTCACCACCCCTACCCCGCTCACCTGTCACCACCCCTACCCCGCTCACCAGTCACTACACCTACCCCCTCCCCTGTCACCACCCCTACCCCCCCTCACCTGTCACCACCCCTACCCCCCTCACCTGTCACCACCCCTACCCCCCTCACCAGCCACCACCCCCGACCCCGCTCACCAGTCACCACCCCTACCCCGCTCACCTGTCACCACCCCTACCCCCCTCACCTGTCACCACCCCTACCCCCCTCACCAGTCACTACACCTACCCCGCTCACCTGTCACCACCCCTACCCCCTCACCTGTCACCACCCCTACCCCCCTCACCAGTCACTACGCCTACCCCCCTCACCTGTCACCACCCCTACCCCCCTCACCTGTCACCACCCCTACCCCGCTCACCTGTCACCACCCCTACCCCCCTCACCTGTCACCACCCCTACCCCCCTCACCTGTCACTACACCTACCCCCCTCACCTGTCAGCACGCCTACCCCCCTCACCTGTCACCACCCCTACCCCCCTCACCTGTCACTACACCTACCCCCCTCACCAGTCACCACCCCTACCCCGCTCACCTGTCACCACGCCTACCCCCCTCACCTGTCACCACCCCTACCCCCCTCACCTGTCACCACCCCTACCCCCCTCACCTGTCAGCACGCCTACCCCCCTCACCTGTCACCACCCCTACCCCCCTCACCTGTCACCACCCCTACCCCCCTCACCTGTCAGCACGCCTACCCCCCTCACCTGTCAGCACGCCTACCCCCCTCACCTGTCACCACCCCTACCCCCCTCACCTGTCACCACCCCTACCCCCCTCACCTGTCACCACCCCTACCCCCCTCACCTGTCACCACCCCTACCCCCCTCACCTGTCACCACCCCTACCCCCCCTCACCTGTCACCACACCTACCCCCCTCACCTGTCACTACCCCTATCCCGCTCACCTGTCACCACGCCTACCCCCCTCACCTGTCACCACCCCTACCCCCTCACCTGTCACTACACCTACCCCGCTCACCTGTCACCACCCCTACCCCGCTCACCTGTCACTACACCTACCCCCCTCCCCTGTCACCACCCCTACCCCGCTCACCTGTCACCACGCCTACCCCCCTCACCTGTCACTACACCTACCCCCCTCCCCTGTCACCACCCCTACCCCGCTCACCTGTCACCACGCCTAGGCGGCCCTCCCTGCCGGGGGCACTGAATGATGAGCACACCGCCTGGACCAGGCCGCCACCCTTTCCTGTAACGCCCTGTGGTCTCTGTGACTGCCCGCCCCTGCTCTTGGCACAGAAGAGCAGCCAGGACAGCACACAACTGGGAGGCCTGTGCCAATAAAACTTTATTCACAAAGCAGGTGGCAGGCCACTGTCTCCTGACACTTGTCCAGGGTCTGTGATCAGAAATGATCATCTCTGATATGGAGAAAGGGCTTTTAAAAATCCGTGTTTTTATTGATTTCAGAGAGGAAGGGGGACGGAGAAACATCAATGATAGGAGTCATTGAAGGGCTGCCTCCTGCAGGCCCCACCCCGGGGATGGAGCCTGTAACTCGGGCCTGTGCCCGTGGCCGGAATCGAACCTGCGACCCTTCAGTCCGCAGGCCGACACTGTCCACTGAGCCACACCGGCCAGGGCTGAGGAAGGCTTTGGGGAGCTCCCCTCCCTGGAACACAGCATCGGGGGGCAGGAGCTCGGTGCCCTGTCAGCCGGCGAAGGTGGCCAGTGCTCCGTGAACACGGTGGTTGGACTGGGTTTGCAGCGGGAGAGCCTGGCAGCGGCGTGGCCTCTCATGGAGCCCGGACAGAGCTCAAGGCTTGTCCAACGCCACTTCACCCCGCACACGCACACGCACACGCACAGGAGCACACACACACACACACACACACGCACAGGAGCACACACACGCACGCACGCACGCACGCGCACACACACATACACACACACGCACACGCACACACACACACACACGCACACGCACACACACACACACACACGCACACACACACACGCACACACACATGCACACGCACACGCGCTCACCTGGCCCTCCTTGGTGCAGGCCAGCACCTTGTCCTCGTCCTTGGGGTGGAAGAGGAGCTTGTCCACGGTGAAGGGCAGGAGCTGCTTCTGGAAGGTGGTGGCCTCGTCTGTGCTCAGGAACAGGTTCTGCTCCCCGCTGCTGAGCGAGGAGCTGAGGAAGAGGATCTGAAACACAGGCGGGCAGAGGGGACCACGCTCGGACGCCCACTTCCCGTTCTGTGCCTCAGCTTCCCGGTCTGCCGAGGGGGACACAGCACGGGCCCGGCCCTGGGGAACCTCAGTGACAGCCTACCAGGCCTGTGACCAGGCCGTCTCCTGGCATCTGGGACAGGCCTGCCGTGGGCCCGGCCTGGTCGAGACATGGATGCACGAATGAACGAATCAATGAAAAAACGAATGAATGAATGAATGAATGAACAAATGAATGAGTAGCTCCACCCCAGCTTGCTCTTCTCCTTTGGGAGGGGAGTGACTCGCTGCAGAATCCTTTAAAAGTCCCTCGCTCGGCCTCTTCACTGCCCACGTGTCACTCACCACAGGAACTACAGGGCAGGTCTGCGGGCAGGAGCGCTCCCGCAGGAGCTGACGCCGAAGGAGCTTGAAGAATGGATGGTCGGCCGACGGGAGGGTGTTCCAGGACCAAGGCCCTGCCCTGCCCTCCCACACACCTGGGCGCCAGCCACCTCAGCCCCCGGTGTGTGTCTCCAGTCCCGAGACCGTTCACACTCCCAGAATGCACAGCGGGACCAAGACACCTCCACGCTCACCACTGCTACTCAGAACACAGGTCTCCAGATTTCAAAACCACAAACCCATGTGTGATAAAATTAAAACACTTTCTTTCAAACTTTCTGAGCCCCAAACGCTAGGCAACGTCAACAAAGCTGAAGTTTCTCATTTCTTTCGGGCACCCCTCCCCGCAGCGTGAGTGTAGCTTATTTTTATGATAGAGACACCTTTCACCTTGTTATCGGATTGTCAAGTGCCTCCTCCTGCACCAAAGCTCAATTCAAAGGCCACCTCCTCCAGGAAGCCCTCCGTGATACGTTATTCTGAGACACACACACACACACACACACACACACACACACACACGCTCTTTCCCCAGCACCTGTGCATTCGTTCGGCCCCGCCCAACGTTCCCTCGGGGCCGGAGGCTGTGCAGCCTGGCGAGGCCCAGGTGTCTGTCACGGCCACGTCTCCCCAGCAGGTGCCCTATCCCAATGGGCAGGCCCTGGAGCTCTTCCCACACAGAGCCAGGGCCCGGGCCCGGTGCCTCCCGTCACGGCACCGCTAGGGCCGGAGCCGTGGAGCGTGGCGCCGAGGTGGGAGGGCGCTGGCCTGGACCGGGGCTGCTCGTAGGACAAGCAAGCCGGGAAGACGGGGACGACTGGCATGCTGATGAGGAGAGGAACCGTGGAGCAAAAACAACTCAGCACGGTGGCGGCTGGCGGCTGGTGACGGTCCTTCCAAACGGGGACCAGCCTATTTCAATCGCGTGTTTTCACCGCGTGCTGTTCCGGGAGCATATGGCGTCTGCGCTCGATGCTGGGCCTGAGCCGGAGGTTTGAACTCAGAGGCAACATGTGAGCGGAATCAGTCCACAGCTTCGTCTGGGGCGTGAGACCCGGCGGTGACATCACTGTGGGCCCAGCGCCAGGTGCACACGCAGGGCCCGGTGATGACATCACCCGTGGGCCCAGCACCAAGTGCACACGCAGGGCCCGGCAGCGACATCACTGTGGGCCCAGCACCAAGTGCACACGCAGGGCCCGGCGGGACATCACCCGTGGGCCCAGCGCCAAGTGCACACGCAGGGCCCGGCGGGACATCACCCGTGGGCCCAGGGATAGGTGCACACGCAGGGCCCGGCGGGACATCACCCGTGGGCCCAGCGCCAAGTGCACACGCAGGGCCCGGCGGGACATCACCCGTGGGCCCAGCGCCAAGTGCACACGCAGGGCCCGGCGGGACATCACCCGTGGGCCCAGCGCCAAGTGCACACGCAGGGCCCGGCGGTGACATCACCCGTGGGCCCAGCGCCAAGTGCACACGCAGGGCCCGGCGGTGACATCACCCGTGGGCCCAGCACCAAGTGCACACGCAGGGCCCGGTGATGACATCACCAGTGGGCCCAGGGATAGGTGCACACGCAGGGCCCGGCGGGGACGTCACCTGTGGGCCCAGCGCCAGGTGCACACGCAGGGCCCGGCGGGGACATCACCGTGGGCCCAGCGCCAAGTGCACATGCAGGGCCCGGCGGCGACGTCACCCGTGGGCCCAGTGCCAGGTGCACACGCAGGGCCCGGCGGTGACATCCCGTGGGCCCAGCGCCAAGTGCACACGCAGGGCCCGGCGGTGACATCCCGTGGGCCCAGCGCCAAGTGCACACGCAGGGCCCAGTGATGACATCACCCGTGGGCCCAGGGATAGGTGCACATGCAGGGCCCGGCGGTGACATCACCAGTGGGCCCAGGGATAGGTGCACATGCAGGGCCCGGCGGGACATCACCCGTGGGCCCAGCGCCAAGTGCACACGCAGGGCCCGGCAGTGACATCACCAGTGGGCCCAGGGCCAGGTGCACACGCAGGGCCCGGCGGTGACATCACCAGTGGGCCCAGGGATAGGTGCACATGCAGGGCCCGGCGGGACATCACCCGTGGGCCCAGCGCCAAGTGCACACGCAGGGCCCGGTGATGACATCACCAGTGGGCCCAGCGCCAAGTGCACACGCAGGGCCCGGCGGGGACATCACTCGTGGGCCCAGTGCCAGGTGCACATGCAGGGCCCGGCAGTGACATCACCAGTGGGCCCAGGGCCAGGTGCACACGCAGGGCCCGGCGGTGACATCACCGTGGGCCCAGCACCAAGTGCACACGCAGGGCCCGGCAGCAACGTCACCCGTGGGCCCAGGGCCTGCCCATGCCTGCTGTTGCCTACCAAGGTGCATCGCCTCCTGCTGGAGGGAGGATCATCCACAGACGGGCCGGGTCTCGGAGCTGCGGGAGCTCAGAGGCAGTGGTGACAGGAATGGGGCACATATGGCCTGCCGCCCTGAGTGTGGTGTCTCCGTAGTTGTGCACCCTAAAACCTCCCTCACCCGGAGGGAGAACTTGCTGGGATCTGGGGTGCCAGCGCCCACACCAGGCAGGGGATAATGATCTGCAGGGTGGAGGGATACTGACACAGCCCCAGGCCCCAGGCCCCAGGCAGGGAGGGCACGCTGCCTGAGCAGAGTGCAGCCACAGCGTTCACACAGGGGGGTCGTGCCGGTGCTGGAGGCACACGGAGCTGGGCTCCTGTCCTCACCAGGCCCCCGAGAAGCTGTGCAACCTTGGACAAGTTCATTCACGTCTCTGAGCCTCAGGCTGCTCGTGAAGATAGGAATTCCCACGGCAGAGGTCATTAGAAGAGATAAATGAAAAGATGTATATTATGGACCGAGCACAGTCCCTTAGACATCAAACTCCCTGTCCATGACAGCCAGGTCACTGCAGCATTTTTGCTTTGGAAGAGGGAGTCGGCTTCAGCGGAGTTCACTGAGCATTCACCCAGCTCCTCTATGGGCTCTACCTGCGCTGTGATGGGGAGGCACCCGGGCCCAGGGCGCTGGCTCCTCATGGGAGGAGCTCCAGTGCCTGTTGATTGGGATAGGGCACCTGCTGGCAGGACATGTGGCTGTGACAAACACCTGGGCCTCGCCAGGCTGCACAGCCTCCGGGCCCGGAGGGAAAGGCAGATTCTTACAGAGAACACTAGGGAACGTAGGGGTGGACCAAATGAATGCACAGGTGCTGGGGAAAGAGCAGGGGAGAGGCCTGAATAACATGTATCACAGAGGGCTTCCTGGAGGAGGTAACACTTATCACTGCCCTCTGCCGTTGAAATGAGCTTTGGTGCACGAGGAGGTAATGAACAACCGGTAACAAGGGGAGCAAAGCCTATCCAATGACAGCAGGATCTGCGACAGAAAACCCAAACATGGGACTTTCGGGGAAAGAAGGAGGGACCCCCTTCAGAATGTTCTGGTCACACTGAGCTCTGCCATGACCGGCTTCTGCTCAGCTTTGGAGGCCTGGCACGGGCGACACCTCCTCCGGGGAGCCCCAGCCCCTGGCCAGGCTGCGGGGGAGGCGAGGGAGGCTTTGGGGTGCCAACTAGGGAGACACCACACTCAGGGGCGGCGGGCCATATGCACCCTGTCCCTGTCACCACTGCCTCTGAGCCGCCTCAGCTCTGGGACCCGCCCGCCTGTGGGTGATCCTCCCTCCGCCAGGAGGCCATGCACCTTGGTCGGCAACGGCAGGCATGGGCAGTGCCGGCCTGCCACGGGCACTGGGCACCGAGGAGGGTCTGAAGCGCAGGGCAGGGCTCCAGCACCCGGCCCGCCCTGGCCTGGAGGGACCCGGGCGTCCTCTGCCCTCTGCCGCCACCCCAGCGCTCGCTGGCTGCCCGGCCGCTCTGTGGCCCGCTGCCGCGTGTCCCAGCAGGAGCTGCGGTGTGCCCCCTGCCCCCTGCCCCCTCACCTGTCAAGCTCACTCTCCTGGGCCAGGGCTCCCACCACCTCCTGCCCCAGGCGGTGCCCGCCCCAGCGGCCTCACAGCCCCAGAACCCCCCCACCATGCTGCCCGGGTTCCCGTTCAGACCTCTCCCCGCTCAGCACAGCCTCGGTTCCCACTCAGACCCTCCGCCAGGGAGGGCTGGTTTAGTTTAGTCTCCCAAAGGCCCCCAGCCCCGGATGGCGTCGCTGAGTAATGTGTCTATTTAAACCCACCGCTGTCTATTCCTGGTTGCACAGACGTGCCAGCTGCGGCACAGACGCTCGCTCTGACGCGCAGAGAGGCAGACGGGGAGACAGACAGACCAGCGGCGCCCGCCCCCGGGTCCCGTGCCCGTGAGTCACAGCGAGCAGACAGCGCCCGCACCCGCTCCCTCCGCCGGCAGAGAGCGCCCCGCTGGGCCCAGGGGAACCCGCTCCGAGTCACAGCTCTGGGCGGAGTGACCGGGGGCACAGGAGGCACAGGACTGAGTCTGAGTGAGAGGCGCCTGGCAGCCCCTGGCCCGTGGCCTCGGCAAGCCCGTCCTCATCTGGAGGCGCCCTGTCCTGCGCCGAGTTCACATGTGAAACTGGGTCACGTGTGAAACCCCAGCACAACACGGGGTC